AGAGAAGTATGTTTTATCAAACATAATACATGTAAACTAGTATATACTGGATTTATACACTTGATATAGCAAAAATGAGTGTTGTGGTTAGAGATCTATAAACTAAACTCACAAAACAGCCTTTGACAGAAAAGTTTTGGTCCAATCTTGGACTGTTTTGACCATCCAAATAGAAGTATTTTTCAAAACTGTTTTACATGGATAAATTTCAGGTTTATACCTTTAAAATTACTACTCGCACGTTTTCATACGATTTTTCTACAATTTTTGGCGAATTTTACAAAACTGCCTATCATATTTGAAATAATTTCGGACTAGGAATGGCAATGGGGCGGGTTCGGGGCGGGTCATGGTTTCCCAAACCCGCCCCGATATCTTTCGGGTATCTTATCGGGGCGCCCCATTGGGTTCGGGTTTTCCCGTCGGGTTTCGGGTATCTTATCGGGTTTACAATAATTCATAACGAAATCCTTATTCCGTTTAAGGGTACCCCGATGTCTTAAAAAAAACATTTTCTACCCTCCCTTTTAAATTAAAAATATGATGGATCACTTTAATAAACTTAACTCGACGTTATACTAAAACTTATTTGATTTAAGTTTAGTGTAATACGTCAAAACATAAAAAAAGACCATTCACATCGGATTGTTAATAACTAAAAAGATTATCCACAATAAGTATTTTATCTTTGAATGCGTGCAAGTAATATATATATATATATATATATATATACATATATATATATATATATATATATATATATATATATATATATATATATATATATATAATCGGGGCGGGTCGGGTCGGGGCGAGGATAACCCATTCCCTACCCCGAACCCGATAAAAAACCCGATAGCGACCTGTTACCCGACACGAAATAATCGGGTTTCGGGTTTCCCCGTCGGGTTCGGGTTTTTTTTGCCATCCCTATTTCGGACCAACCTGTGAAGATGAGCAATTTCACACTTGTTAGAAGCCATTAAAAATTATGAGAAAATTTTTGAACAAATTAGACAAAATTTCTAAACTTTGAGAATTTACGGATCCAAATTTCGACTTACGATGATTTTTCTACAAGTTTTCAAACAACTAGGTCGGAAAAGCTCAAAAACTAGGAAATGTGTATTTTCACAAAAACCAAGCCAAAAATGATATTTTTGACAAAAATGGGTTTAAAATGTTATTTTTACCACAAAGTAGTCACCAATACAAGTTTGTAACAAAATTGGAGATTAAAGTGTTATTCTTACAAAAATTGGGTCTTAATTGTAATTTTTATGCCTTATTCGGCCAAGAACGTCATTTTTACAAAAGTGGGTTTTTTTTATATCAAATTTGTAAATAATCAAGCTAAAATAAACAAAACAATAACAAACGGGTAAAAAACGATATTCATATCCTTATTGGGCCTGGAAATAATAGACACGTATAGTGAGCCTTAGTGGTCCACTTACATGTTTATTGGGGCTGGGAATGGGTTTTCTGCGCGTTCTTCTTTTTATGCTATTTTAGTGAATACTTGAACTAAAACCAATGATAAACCAACAAATGGATTTAATTTGACCATTTTCTAGGTTATTGGGCCTTAGTGACCCATTTCTATGTGTGATAGGTCATGTATACTATTTACATGTTTATTGGGCCTCATTGACCCATTAACATGTGCGACGGACCTTGGATACTATTTGTGTGCTATTTGGGCCTGTAAATACTTTATATGTGAAATGGGCCTTAGTTGTCCTTTCATATATATTTCGGGCCCATGTTATATAATCTCATTCCATTTGGGTCTTGAAATGATTTACATATTTAGCGATGCCTTAGTGGTTCACTTACATAGATCATTGGTCCTAGAATGAGTTTATACATTTTTCTTCGCGTAAATTCGATTAAGGATCTAGCGAGTTTTTATCGGTTGGCACCTATTAAGTGTACGATCGTAGCCTGTAGTTATAACCAGGGTCTCTTGGAGGGAGAACGGGGATTTGTGTATAGATCTATACGGGGTTGACACCCCACACCTCAGCTTTTCGCTACAGTTAGACTTACTCCAACGACGCCAAGACAGGTGAAATTGTCATTATTTAGTATGGTTATGACGGCTCGCTTAGAGGAATTAACGTTATGAAGTTTATGGAAGACATCTTTTTTTTTAGGCAACGTCGGGTTGTCTGGGAACATTCTCTTTACATGCTCTTACATTCTCTCTACATTCTCTTTACCTTTTTAGTCAGATAAACAATACCATACATGCATTAATACAAGATCTAACACAAACACACTAAACATTTTCAGAAAATGTCGGATTTTCTGGTGGTTTTCAAACTTATACAAATCATTTTCACAAACATGATTATGAACTCACCAACATTTTTATGTTGACCGTTTTCAAAATAATTTGTATTCTCAGGATACCGTTTAAGCAAGATGAACGAAACAAACTAATGGATATTGTGTGATATTTTGTTTCATCATACTCTACTATTTTGGCATGTAATATTCAAATACAATACTCAATGTAAACAATGAATGTTGTAATATTACATGTGTGATGATGATGATGTTATGTTTCAATTATATTCACTGTAATGATATTTCAAGATGAAGTCACGCGCAAGCCCCTGGACGTTTCCGCCGTCTGGTTCGGGGGTGTGACATAAAGTCTGCATCACTTCTACTCTTAAAACAAGTGTCAAAGGTAGAACCAATGCTAGCTAACGTATTGTGTGTTAATTTGATATGTAAACGTAATCAACATAAATTACTTTACTATTTTCCAGTCATATTATGCTCTAAACAAAACTAGAGTAAACAAAAAGGGCAATTTAGATGCTCCTTATATCAAAATCTAAGAAACAAAGAGGTTGTGTACATTTACAATGTGACAACAAGGACTGATCATCCAATGTCACACGAGCGAAATCATTACAAGAAGGCAGCTAGGGATTTTACTTTAGAAAGGCGCATAACCTTCCTCCCAAAACATGTTCATCAATTAAAAAACATGTGACATGAGTGTAAAAGGATCATAACCTTCTACCAATAAAACAAAAAAGCATAATCGGGTGAGCCCCAAGATGAAGATCTTGGATACACCTAGGGTCTTTAAGCATCAAATTAGAACAAATTTCTCAAAGACCATCTTTGCTAAAACATAAAGAGTTCACTAGTAACAGAACTCAAATCAGGGGTGCAAGCAAAACCTACGTAAATACCATGTGATGGCCAACATAAACCATACATGAAGCAATCAAAGATTATGTGCGGTAATACCAAACACTTGTACCCACGAATATAGAAGAAACATTGTCATGATTGTCGGACTCCTAGACTTTCAAATGATCACAAAAGGAAAAATAGACAAAAAAAAACAGACAAAGAAAAAGAAATCATTGTTCAAGGGATTACATCAAAACAAGTCACAAAGCAGAGCTACTTGTTACCAGGAGTGTTGACATCACCAGAAGGAAAGCTTGAATTAGGGATCGATCCCTCGCTCTGAGACTACTGACAGAGATCACGAAGCCCAACCATGTCTAGGGCACCCAAAAGAAGATGGCTAGCAAAGTCCGTCTTCGTGAAAGTCACCAAGGCGTCTTCCATCTCTTGAGTCTTGGCTGCCACATTCTCCTCAGGCTTTGGTTCAGCCTCCCTGGCGGATACGTGCTCCCAAACAATCCTTTTACCCTGTTCCACACCAGCAGCAACACAAGCTTCTTTCACAAGAACCAAGCCTTGGAGGAATTGTGGACTTTCAATCAACCTATCTACGACCCGACTGAGCCCTCCACTAAGGACCCAAGAAATATCCCTTTCCAACGCTCCCCTTGCGACATTCTCAATCACCAGATCAACCTCCAACTCCACTATCCGCTTGCTCAGACCTGTGTTTTCCAACATCAGGACCCCCACATGAGCATTCAGGCCCTGCACCTCTTTCACCAACTCTATCGCTGGATCCGCCAAGCTGCCCTCCCACAACACACTGCCTCCTGCCCAGCCTCCAAGCTGCTCTTATTGGCTTCTAACTTCGCCACTTGGGCCTTTAGTTCTCTCCATTCAATGCTCCTTCTATCCAAATCGGTCTTGAGGGTCTCCATCTCAGAGATGTGTTCGGCGACCACGACTAAATAAGACGACACTTGGGTGGCAGCGTAACACAAGTCATCAGCCTTATGCTCATCGGACGGGACGCTTAGGGCCTCATTTGTGGCAGGAGGAAATGCACGCTGACACCAATTGAGAGCGATGTCATTATCAGAGACAAGGTCCCGAGCAGTTAGTCTCCAAGTTGGTTTATAAGCATTCGGATGAGAACCCATCAGCAGGGGGTGGTTGCGTTTTTACCAGAATAGGTGGAGGCAAGACCGTGAGGAGGTGAAGACCCAGTCTTTTTTACAACTCCTTCAATTAAGGGAACGAGGATGGTTGTTTCGATGTTTTCCTCTCTCGTATGATGGGGCGGTTCAGTCGCCCTGGTATGTGCTTCCTCCGGTAGTTTCGAAGGACCTTCATCGGGAGCACGGTTGGAATCCTTAGAACCCCCTAGTAATAAATTATGTTTCTCACATAGAGGGGGTCATGCTAGCTGCCTCAGTTCGTCCACCGGAAGAGGCTTCCAATAGTGTGAAACGCCAGAAAACACGCAAATTACAAAGCGGATCGGGTGGAACCATGTAAAGTGGATCTAGAACTAGAAACCGAAAAACCTAAGAAAACCGGGATTTTCTAGTAATTACCATAGCATGTTGCACCATATATATATATATATATATATATATATATATATATATATATATATATATATATATATATATATATATATATATATATATATATATATATATATATATGATTGATATAAAAAAAACAAAAACACAAATTATGATTTTTTTTTTATTAGATCCAAAAATAAAGATAACGCTTGAAAATTTTATAGAATCACAATCTACAGAAACTACAAAAGCATAAAAAGTGTTAAAAGTCCTACACAGATTTTAGACCCTGAATCGACTTCCACATGCGTAAGTGATATTGCATGAGCCACCAACTATTACAGTATACTTATGAACAGGTCTCGCTAGAAAAGGAGGCAAACGAACAAGAAGATCACAAACACATTGATCATCAACTTGCGACAACCACTTGCAACATTCATCTTGCATGGGTGTGTTTCTATGTCGGTGATGCCTACGATGATTATGTTGTCTATGACCATGTCCACGATTATGCTTATGCTCTTTCTCATGTTCATTATCATCATCATCATCATCATCATGCCTGTGTCCATGTCCATGTCCATGTCTGTGCTCGTGCCTTTCGTCATCTGATGGAGGTGATGGTGGACCAAATGGGGCGCGAGGTGCTTGAGGAGGTACTTGTGTGAATGGGAGATATAAACAAGCTTGATTAGCAAGGGCCATTTGGTAATTGCAGAGTGGGCGAGGGATAAAAGGGGTGAGTGGTACCACAGGGACTACTACCTGGCCTTCAGTACTTGGACGAAGAACCAGAACCAACATGAAGAGCGCCAATCTAAGAACGGTGAATTTAATCATAGTTTCTGTACAATATCTAACAATTTATGTCCACTGGTATATATGTAAATCCATTCTGCATACGAGTAAAAACCATAAACTTTGTGTGTTCTTGGGTAGGTGTTCTTGTGGGCACGTGAAAATCAAAACAAGGAGTTAAGAGCTTGGTTTACTTTTGTAATTGTTGTTTTGTTATTCACCTTCATTCCCTTTGCATGATGTTCAGTTAAGAATTTGTTTGGTGGAGTGTTGTTGACTTCCCATTTACCCAACTTATTCCTACCACAGTTTTACAAGAAAAGATATGAAAAAAGTTGTTCCTTTTGCCAAGAAATTGCAGCCATGATTTAGGTGGTGACAATAAACAGATTCAAGCTTATAGGGTACTTCATAGCTGGACGTTATGTTAAATAAATTAGAGGGTTAGAAAGAACATTTCTGAAAATATGTGGGAGCCGAGAGCAATATGACCCTTAAAGGAAAGCTTATTTTAAGAATTTCATTTCCCCGGATCATTTTGTCAAACTAGGTAACGTAGTTCTTTTTAAGTTCCTTTACTTTTAAAAAAGCTTTTAAAAAATTTGTTACCATTAGAAGAATTTTTTTGGAGACATAACTTTAAAAACTATTTTTTTAACATTTTTTTAAGTTTTGTCATATTTAACAATATTTTATTTTACAATATAATTATATTTAGATATTAGATTTTTATTAGTTGATCAATTATTTCAATAAGCAAAATAAAATAAATATATTTTATAAAAAAGTTATATAATTTAATAAAAATTGTCAAAACCTTCAAAATTAAAAAATTATATATATAAAATATTATAAAACATTGAGGTTATACAATATTTATCGTTTTTATATTTCTATGACTATATGTGACAATTTTATTACCTATTAAAGTTTAGAAAAAAAATTCCCAATATTTTTTTTGGCATTAAATGTCTATAAGATATGGCATGCTAGTAAAAAATGATAAATTGAACGAGGGAAGTTTAAAAAATGTTTAAGATGTATAAATGATAAAGTACTTTTTTATAAAAAAGAATTTGAAAAGGATAACAGTTGGAGATGGTGTTTAATATATATAATCTTTTTTGTTAAATACAAGTTACTAGAAAAATAATATTAAAAATGAAATTAACCATTAGAGATACTCTTATAATACGATAATTTATTTTTACCAATAGATTTAAATAAATCCCAAAAAACTATCGTTGTTATTATCAAGTTTGATCATTTTAATTTTTTGCAGAATTTAGTATATTTTTCACCTTGAATATAACGATTTACATTGATGGGGACATATATTACTAAAGATATACATACAAGGAAAATATATAACAAAATTATCCTCATTTTGTAATAATTAAAAAATCAAATTGAATTGAATTTTAGTTCTAAATTTCTAATACTCATTTCAAGCTAAGTATTGGACCAATAAGGAGCTTTGCATAGACAATTTGAAAAGAGGTCATAAATGTCTTTTTGTAAAGATATCATCTAGTTGAAGTTTTACGGGAACAAGTCTAGTATCTTTTTCACAACGGATTTTTTTTATAAGACTCTCTTCCAATTATTCACTTAGGTATGAATAGATATAGAAAAGACCCCATTAATTGTGCTGGTTGGATTAAATCCAACTCTCTTGATATAGAAAACCCTAGTTGGGCCTTACACCTTCTTGAGTGGGAGAAAGAGTTTTTTTGAGCAATTTTAGTGTGTTTGTGAAGGTTTTTAGAGCTTGAAGAAGGAGTAAGGAGAGAAGCAGTAGATATTACATCTACAATGTATTGGCCACCATTTTGAGGGATAAAGTCATTACATTGAACTCTAGTTTATTAGATCCCTTTCCTTGGAAGTAAATGGCTATTTTTGGTGCAAAATGGAGTCCTACTCAGATCTGGACTTATCACAAGGATATAGTTCCAGATCTGGACCTCTTTAGGTCCCCAACGACATAAAGTTACTCACTTTATCCAGCCTAGGCCCTTTCCATGCACAAAAACCTTGTAGGAAGCTTAGTTTTGATGTTATGACCTTAGAGGACCTTGAATGCATGTAAAGTTTGCGATTTTACGTGGTATCTGCACTAGGAGAGGTGGAATCTGAAGTATGGGACCTTAGACCCCACTAAAAAGGGCTGAACATGAAAGGGAATGAAGGAACTCATCGAGTCCCTTAGTTGACTCAACAAGTCTGGGTAGGGTTTGCCGTTTTTAAGTTTCCGATTGAGTGTAGTGAAGGACTAGGATTTTGGCCTGAATGGACTTTAGCTCTTTTGGACATTTGATGAACTCGATGAGTCACTAAGGTGACTCGACAACTTGGCTCGGGATTCAGTGGAATGAATTCGGGAGGAACTCGACGAGTTGCTCGATGCACTCGGCGAGTTGAGGTCAACTTGGACTGTTGACCTTGACTTTGACCAGGGTTGACTTTGAGGGTATTTATTGGGATTGTGACAAGTTAATCACATGTTGATAATAGGCAGTTGAGAAGGACCAGTGCATGGAAAATATATGATCTTAGCTTATCAGTTCAGCATTAGAGAGGTGAGTCTCCTCACCATACCAATGGGTCGAATGCACCAAGGACGACCCATTTATGATTTGTGGTACTCTAGTTGTAGTTATATTATGAGACATGATAGTTGGTTATGTGCTAGGATTGGATGCTAGTTGTATATGTGGTATGCTTGTATGGAAGACCATGGGAGAGCCCATGACACCTAGATGTAAGACCATGTGGAGAGCCCATGGCTTTCCTACTAAAGACCATGTGGAGAGTCCATGGCAACAGGATGTAAGACCATGTGGAGAGCCCATGGCTTTCCTATTAAAGACCATGCGAGAGCCCATGGCACATAGGTGTAAGACCATGTGGGGAGCCCATGGCATCCTGGAGTAAGACCCTGGGGACGAGTTCACGACATCCCTTTATGTTATATGCATGGCTTATGTGATATATGTAGCTTTGTGGCTAATATGTTATGTGATTATGTGGATTGTGTGTGGGTTTGCTCTGGGGAACTCACTAAGCATTAGCCTATAGTTTGTTGAATTGTTTCAGGTACTTCGGAGCCTAAGGGCAAGGCAAGGCTTGATGGCGTGACATGCACTCTTCGGCATCTGTTTTGATGGGACACTCTAATGTTATGAATAAATGATAATGTTATGAATTTTGGAAACAAAGCTTAATGTACTCCACATTTTATGGAAATTCTTAGCTAATTAACAATGATAAATTTATTGGAAAATTTTGGGTCGTTACAAGTTGGTATCAGAGCCGTGGTTTGAGGGATTCGGGCACGCTCTCAAGTGTGTCTGGACTCAAACTAAGGAAATGGTAAAACTGTTCTCAAAAAAAAAATTCAAAACTTGTTAGAATAAGAAAAAGGAGAATGCAATGCGTGCAATCAACTGAGCCAAGTAAGTAGTTCCCCCAGCATGTTAGCCATGTTTTACTGATATGTGAGTTATGATAATCATATGAATCTTGCTACGTGTATGCTTACAAAATTGTATACAGTTAGGGTCTTATAGCCTCAGAATGATTGATTTGGTCTTATTACATGTTTCTTGTTTGGTTGTGGTCTTAGGGTAGAGTCTATTATTTGAAAGTCTATTTGATCATTTTCTGTGTATAATTTGCATGCATAAGGCAACCTGTTGTGATTGAGTTTTGGCTTGATAGGGATGGAAGAAATCTTAGGTTAGCTTAGGATTTGGGCTATGTCGGAGTGTGTGAGATATGATTTGTTTTAGGACGAATTAAAGTTATCGGGTAGAGCTTTGGAGAAGGTACAAGTAGGTGTGGAAGGTATTATTGGGTCCGTACTACTGAAAACATAGGACCTGTACACAAACCAATGTTAGACCTGGAAGCTCTATGGAGGACCGGTGTGGGAAGATCTAGGGCTGTTAATCGGGTCAACCTGATCGGGTTTCGGGTTAAACGGTTTGGGTTAGTTTGGTTTTTTAATTTGAAAAAATCACCCGAAACCCGACCCTATTAAGCTACGGGTTAGTCGGGTTCGGGTCAATCAGATTTCGGATTAATAGGTTCGGGTCAATTGGGTTAGTCGGGTTGATAAACAAACATTACATTCTTTTTAACTAACTTGGTAGAATTTCTGATTCACATAAGGTTTTACTTTTGAGTTTGTTTATCATTATGGCAGGAACATTTTGGGTGCATGAATAATAGAAAGTCCATGCAAGTGATTCGAGGAAGAAACTAAGTGCACGTTTTATTCAATTAAATACTTTCATGGTATCATTCATATATCAATTGTAAATCAACAAATGAATTAAAAATAGTATCAAAACATGATGCGTCAAAAGCCAAGAATGAGGAAAAAGAAAAGCCAACAGTGAGAAAGGTATAAGATAAGTTAATAAATATAATATAGATTCATTAGATAGATCAAAAATAATTTAGTTAATAGGATTGTATTTATTAGTGATCATCAAGCATGGCATTTCAAGTATTTGATGAGATTAAGTATTATTATTCGGGTTATTCGGGTCAACCCGAACCCGAAAAAATGTTATAGAACGAACCCGAAACCCGACCCTAATTATAGTTCGGGTTTATCGGGTTAACCCGAATAAGCCGAATATGAAATTTTAACCCTATTAAACCCGATCCGTTTAAACTTATTCGGGTTTGGGTCGGGTCGGGTCGGGTTTGGGTATTTTTGACACCCCTAGGAAGATCCCTTCTATGGAACATCCTGATCATTATGTTTTATGGTATTGTAGAGCAGTATGGTGGTGGCACGGTTTGGAGCAGGAGGATCAAGATCAGGGTCAGGATCTGGGTTTGGGTCAGGTAACACTATTGAGACCATTGACGAGAGGTTGCATGGGCTCATCACAACAAAGGTTACGAGGGGGATCCTTGACGCTATCTCAACTATCTTTGGGACGATCAAGGAGGGTATGATGGAGATCATGGAGGAGAGGCTCAGGGCATTCAGAAATGAGATTGTTGCGGTCCAAAATTTTCGG